GGCAGCTTTCTGAGTTCGGTCTAAAAAACTAAGAAAGATGGCTCAGCCCCAAAGGCCTAAATTGGTTGAAATTGGAGTTTTGTTATTTCGGTTGAGCCTCTAGGGGCTGCTTTCTGAGTTTTGTTTAGAAACTAGGAAAGCTGGCTTAGCCCCAAAAGCTTAGCTCGGTTGAAGACCGAGGTTCCTTATTTATTAAAGTCAAACTTCGTTCGGTGGGTTTATCTCGGCTAAAGTTACTTAGGAGTTGGTAACCTACTGAAGCTACTGATTTCTAGAGTTCTAGTTCGGTTATTATCTAAAGTGATCTACCTATATAGGACAAACAATATCCTAGTTCGGTTGCTACTTGATTTTGGATCTAAGACTAGTTTTCTACAGAATATTTCATACACACGGGTTCAGTAAAGTTTTTCCAGTAAAGTACAGAAGCAAAGCAAAAAATAGACTAACATGTTTCGCAAAAACATGAAAAGCAAAATATGAAAACAAACAAAGCAAGAAGGTTAGATTTGCTTACCAGAGTAAAAAGGAAGAAGTTAGAAGATGGAGGCAATAGCAGTAATGAAGGGCGCGAACACAGCAAGCTCAAACTCAGGGCTCAGGAACAAGGGAGAGAAGAAGTAAGGAGTAGAGTAAATGATTCAAAAGTGAAAGGATGGTTTTGTGAAAAATGAGAGAGAAAAAGCGGCAAAAAGGGGCGGGACTGTTCAAAAATTTCGTGGTACGAGGGCGGCGTGATAACAGCTCACAGCCTATCAAAGCCTGCCACGTGTCATTGGAAAGTGAAGCGTTATAGTCAGTGATTGAAGAGACGTTTTGACCGAACAAGTAGAGCCGGAGTGAAATAAGCTCGGCTGGAGAGGCTAAAACGATTTTTTAGTTCGGCTGGAAAGGCTTGAAAACGTTTAGCTCGGCTGATCACTTGGTAATCCCATACATGTTGTGCAGATGGAATTAAGGGGCAATTGAGAGGGTAATTTTTGGTGAAAATTGGGCCGAGCTATGAAATGGACTTTTGGCCCCAAAGTACGAAGGACCAGGTAAAATGGGCCGAGAAGTTACTCCGGCCCATGAGAAATAAAGTTACTTCGGTCAAAAGAGGTGAAGTTACTTCGGCTCAGGAATTGTAAAGCTACTTCGGTTTCGACAACTTGAGTTAGTCCGGTCTCCGAGTTAGTCCGGTCATGACGTATTCTGGATAGATCGGTCAAGACCTTGCTACTCGGTAGCTCGGTCCCAACATATCATGGTTCATGCATGGGAGAACCGAGATGAGGAGTGAAAGGAAGGGCCGAACTAAGGATAGTTCGGCCTACCTCGTGGCTCAGCTTAGCCAGTTTACTTCGGTTAAATGGTAGTTCGGCCGTAGTAAAAACCATCCCACTTGGTTTAAGCAGATGGTGAAGAACCATCCCACTTGGTTTAAGCAGTGGGGGGGTGTAAAAAGATAAGCATTATCTTTTAGAAGCATGAATCCTAGGAGGACTCTGCATGGAGAAATAAAAGTCCTACTAGGATTGGGCCACTCGAAACCTATAAAAGCTCACAAGCATTACCTTGGAAGGGGGTAACAGCACACAACTTATAATTTTGCTTCTTGAATACATTGAGCTTTGTCTATTTGTCAAGTTTTCTGACTTAGGCATCGGAGAGGTTTCCGGCACACACCCGCCGGCTAGCTCACGTTTGTGTTTTCAGGTGACAAAGCGACGTCGTACGGAGGAGCGTGGACTTAGTCAACAGGATTATACGAGGAGAATTATTTCTTCCCCGTACAGTATGTAAAAGTGAAAGTAAATATATTTTATTCACATTTCACTTAATTTTTCTTTTTCTCTTTTTAAATTTCTGTTCAAATCTCCCAACCAAACATAATGTAATTAGATTGTTTTCTTATTTCTTTTGTTGGAAAAATTATTGACTCATGAAAAAAATTATCACTAATTTAAAAATATTTTTCTAAACATACACTAAAATAAAATTATCTTCTTTTTTAGTCACGAAAATCACTCACTCTCAGTGTATATATATTTGAAAAATGCAGAGTACTTAACAGGCTTGTTTTTCATCTTTAGAGAGAGAGAACTAAAATGCAGAGACCCCGTTTGTTTTGGGAGATAGAATGGAAGGGATTGATAGTGAGGGGATTGATAGTGAGGGGATTAATAGTGAAGAATTGTTAAATTATTTTTATATAAAATAATAAAAAAATATAAAAAAATAAACATTATTTTTAAAAAAAATTCCCAATATATAAAAAAAAAAAAATTTCTAATCCCCTCACTATTTTTCTAATACCATCTCTACCTCCTCCTTACCAATCCTCCTTCCTCCTCCTTACTAATACCAAGGGATTACTAATCCCTTCCCTATCTCTCAAAACAAACACTCCATTTTCAATCCCCTCCTCACTATCAAACCCAATCCCCTCCCCATAATTCCAAACAAACGGGGCCAGAGAGCTTTTGGAAGATGAATTCATGGCTATGGGTCTATTAGATCATATTCAGCCTATGTTTGTGAAGTTGGGTTTGAGGATTTTTTTGACTAAAATAGTCACAAAAAACAAAATAGACTTTTTAACCCAATAAAACAAAACATCACATCTAACCCATAATTATTACATTCTTTCTTTCACAAAAAAGCTAAAAAAATCAAAAATCCTTCTCAAATTAGGCTTTTTAGCCCAAGACTAAAATAGTTAAAAAAGCCAAAAGGCCAACCCACTTTCCAAACGAAGCCTCAGTTCCTTGATGGCTTCCTTCACATAGCCTACTTGGGGTATGTTTGGTTGCTCAGCGTCAGATGCCCATTCTTCAGTTGTCTATTTTTAGCATTTGTGTATTTTAATGAGATCTATAAATAATGTATTTTTGTAATAAAATATATATTTAAAAAAAAATTCAATTAATTCTTGTAGATGAAGTTTTTAAAATTGTCGAAAATAGAATAATTATAAAATATAAATGAATTTTTTGAATGTATTAAATAGTGAAAATTGACAAATAATTTGAAACAGAGAGAATAAATTATAGAATCTTGATGATTTTTAAAGTGATACTAAGTAATAAATACAATAGTGATTAAATTTGAATATATAATGTTAGATATTATTATGTGATATGTTATCATTGACTATAGTGACACATCAAACACTACATTGATTTGATAGTATTATTAGAATCTGAACTGAAAGTGATATTGTTGACTTTCATATTTAGTTGTCTAAATAACAGTGTAAGCACTGAATTAGTACAAATTTGATTTGTTAGATTTCAATTATTAGGTCTCCGTTGGCACTAAAATTTATGCTCTCTGTTGAACAAGCGTAACAAAATATGGAGAGCTGATCCAGTGAATGCTGGGGAGAAGACCATGAGTTTGTAGTGGAATGTGGGTGCCAAAATGCAAAACATGTGACAGAAGTGAAATAGTGAAAGAGGTAGAGGTGGCAAAAGTAGTTTACTCTGTTGATTCATCTGATGGTGTAGTGGGATGTGGCCTAACGTGGCCCAGGAGTCAAGCCATGAAGTTAGGCATGTAAGTGATGCAAGGCATGTGGTTTGTTTGCAAGAGAAAGAGGAGGCTGCAGCAAAGAAGCAGTTATCAGCGGTTATTGAGATCATGGACAGTTATGCAAGAAGTGGAGGTAGCTTGCTCCGTGGTGGGACATGTGAGCGCAAGCCAGTAGCAGGGCCAATGGCATAAAGGCTGGAGATTCGAAGGAAAGAAGGGTAGAAAATCCAACTCTCAACCTGGGAAATCTAGGAGTAGTTCAATATGTTTTAGGAGTAGCAGTTATTGTAGTTAGCAGTAACATTAGCAATAGTAGTTTAGTACTTGAAACCTCTGTTGATTGTAATGTTTATTAACTTGTAATTTGGTCCTGATGGTTGAGTGATAAGTTTTATCATTATCAATCAATTGTTCGTTACATTCTATTTTGTTTATTTAGGAAGTAAACCTCCAAAAAAGTCGTTGAATCTGTCAAGGCATTAAGACACACAACCACATTGCTTGATCTTGTTGTTTGTGAAAATTGGTTTGGTTGTTGACTGTCTATTGTGCACCCAAACTAGATTTTTGCTAATAATCTCTTGCCAACAATTTTGTTTAGCAATGTTTTTTTGTGAAAGGAATAACAAACATAACAAGAGTTTCGAACACACAAACAGAGAGGGATAGTTCTAGTATTGGTAATGGCATCTACATACTGATTTTCTTATTTGTGAATATGAGATATGGAGTTATTGCATCTTTGTAGAAGGAAATCTCGAGTCTTCAACCAAAGTTACAACTTTACAAAGAAAGTTCATGTTAGCCCATTTTTTGGATCAACTTGACTGCTATTTCAAATGAAGATTATATCCAATTGAATATTTCCTATTTCCACGTCAATTATGAAGAGTGAGTCAAAAAAATACAATCAAACTAATTAAAACAAAGAGAGAGAGAGAGAGAGAGAGAAAAAATCCCTTCTTATGAGATTTCAAGAATTGTTTTGAAGATCTTAATAAGTTGGAATTTTGCATCAGTTACACAGATTTTGTTCTAGTAGTCAGAGGTACCAAGAAAGAGAATTTCCATTATAGATAGCAGAGATATAAATTTATGTTGAATAATAGTGGCAAATGTAACTTTACAGAAGATGTCTAGTACAAAACTTACAAGGAGTAAAATTAAGTTTGACGGCAAAAGCGTCAATCAAAATTCAAAGCGAGCCGTCCAAACATTAATAGCCTTTTATTTCAATTGATTCATACAAGCCAAGATGGGGACAATTACTAGTTAAACCAAGAGAGAACCTTCCATTACAATAATGGCTTTCCTCCGAAGTAGTACTCTCTAAGTCTTTTCATCTAAATGGAGGTTCAGTATGCCCCTTCGAGCTGATGCCTATGCTAAGTAAACAATACAATAATTAATGAATAAAGAAAGAACACAAATGGCACAACTGCACGAGTGCGCATGAGAGAGAGAGAGAGAGAGAGAGAAAGAACCTGATATGCAACAAAATCACATTTCCCCAGCTTTTTTGATCAATACCCTGCTAGGGCACAATGTGCATTACCAGTAACAAGATCTTGAAAAATACCAGCAACATATGAAGGAGCAGCCATCAACTATAATGAGAGTTCTTTATAATCTGAGTATCACCATGTTATTTTATTATTATTTTTTTTTAATCAGCTTTCCTTTACTTAGTATGAACATATTTTCCCACTTAATCAAGAGACACCTAGAAAGATGAAAGGAATTGATTTAAATCTTGAGGTAGTTTGGGACAAAATGCCAATTATGTCTTACCTCATTGATCCCCATTTTAGGATCGAAGACACGACTAAAAAAGTAAAACTCGGATCCAGGGGGAGCCGACCCTATAATAATGACTGCCTTTCCAAGGCATCGTTGTATTTCATCAAATCGGGGCTGTAGATCTATAACAGCCTTTCCCAATGGGAGCACAACCTGCCAAAATGCATTTACATTCACTCTCTTTTAAGTACAAAATGAATATTCGTATATCAGTTGAAGTTGACTTCCCTTTCTGTGAGACATCCATCCATGAATACACTAAAATTTAATAAAAATATCTTAGAAATCATATCATTCTCACCATTTAATTCTAAAATTGAACGATCACTCGACCTCACCTTTGGCATGATTTGCACACCCTTTTAATCATTTACTTTAAATACAAAGTGGCATAATTATGAATAATTAAGAAAAGAGCACAAAAGAAATGCATACAATGAGGTCTTCTTCAGTAGTTGTAATCTTTAAGTCAATCACAGAAGCACCACTCAAGGCTTTAGAAATAGATGGAACCTCAGCAGAGTCAAAATCAAAAAGTGGAACTATTGGCAAATCAAACTCAATTAAGACGCAATCTTGTGATTCTGGAACTCTTTTAGCAATCAAAACTCCAAACAGTGTCAGAAACTCAATTTTATCGACATTTACCAAACCAGAAGTGAATAGAAAATGTGAAGCTGCCAATGTTCCATGACCATAAAATTTAACTTGCAAGCAGACATGAAAAATTGTGTCCAGATTAAATTACTCACTACCATAGACTTAGGTATTGAAACACAATCCTCAATTATCATACTTTGTGATGTATGAGAGCATTTCCTATCTTTGCACTTGTTCTTTTCATCAAAAAATTTTTTTTTTATCAAATTTGAGTATAAATTTAGTTAAAAACCTGATCTGATATGATATACTTCAATCCTTATTATCTCTTTTTTGAAAAATTCCAAATTTTATCTCAAAAATCTGTTTTAACCATTTCTTATTATAAAAAAAAAAATCTCCAATCTTTTAAAATTTCGTAAAATTAGAGTACGAATATGACTGAGAACTTTGACGAAGGATTTGGTTCATCTTTGACTAGGTAAAAAAATTGAATCTCCCTTGATTTCGTACAAATTTGATGAAATGGTTCAAGCAGTTTTAGCCAATTTTTTCATCAAATATGAATTTGATAAAAAAGTTGATGAAGGATTGTATAAATATTTTCAGATTAGGTCTCGTTTGGGAACAGATTATTTTAGTAACTTTTTGGCTTTTTACGAAAAGATGTGCAAAAAAGTAGAGAGGTGATGTGATTAGTTTTAGTTAGCTTTTTGACTTTTTGGCTAAAATAGCCACTCCCCAAACGAGACCTAAGTTGAAAAGAAAGCAAGTAATAATGTGAAATCAATCAAATCAAAATTTAAAGAAATCTAACACCTAAAAAACTAAGTCGACAATTATAAGTAATTTGAGTAGCCAAATTAGAAGATTGCGCAATTCGGAGGGGGAATTAGATGTTATATTTCCATTTTTTTTTCTTCTTTTTCCTACGATTTCTCAGCAACCAAACAGATCATTCAGAAAACAAACAGTTCGATATTTTTTCAAACTTTCAACGATGGTGAAGTGACCTGGGCAACTGGATTGAACCATCGGAGGCGAAACCAAGGGTTTGTAGATGAGTGGGACGAGTCATGCGCCTCGGACTCGAAGTCAGTAATTGAAGTCAAGAAACAGGTTATGGGGAGGTTGAACTAACTAGCAACAGTTTGAAACCACTCATCATCGTCGCTCTCTTCATCCAACAAACATACAGCTGCCGGGTTTCCTTTGAACGATGAGTCAGTGAACGTGTCCACCTAAATTCCACAACAAATCAGTGAGTCACACACAACAACAACAAAAAGCACAAAATCAAGGTGAGAGAGAGACGATTACCACACAGTATTTAACAGGTTTCTTTCCTATATTGAGAGAGAGAAAGGGAGAGAGAGAGAGAGTCTGAGGAGGCAGGTGAACACAATGAAATTAGTTTATAATTCCCGAACACTATGTAACGATATTACAAGTCAATCATTAATTACTTAGTCTCATATTATTCTTTTATTCCAATATAAATTGTGAATCTTTTTCCCTTTTTACTAATCAAAACCTTATAAAATACGTATTCATATTCCGAAAAGATTGAATAATCGCTCGTAAAGACAAAACAAAGAGAGCTGTTGGAAGGTGAATTTGGAGTGTTGGGTCTATTTATACTAGTTTCTCGTTGGCTTTACCTGGCCTACTTGGGGTATGTTTGCTTGTTGGGCGTCAAATGCTCCATTCATTTGCTAGGGTTTTTCTTAGGTAATCCGAGTTCTAAAGTAATAGCATTCACATCAGACTTAATAAATTTTGAACTAAATTATAATTAAAAAATTATTTTTATATTTTAGCTGACATTTTGCTATATGTACACACTATATAAGTCTCTTTATTCCAAAATTTAATTTTGTAAAATATTTGTTTATTTTTATTTACTTATTTTTTTTATTTAAGATAAATGATCTACTGGATCATTTTGCACATGATATACTGAACGCTAGGAAAACAAAGCAAGATTTGGTGGTATATGAAGATTTGGTGCAGCAGTTAGTTGTTTGGTAGGATGTCTGATAAGTTGTCATCATTTCTCTTGTCATTCTCTAGAATCAATAATAAAATGTTATATAACATGTGAATAGTATATTATTACATCAAGTGATATATTATAATAATATCAAATTTAATTTTGACATAGCCAGATTAATACAATAGTGATTCTAAACATTGCCTTGCTAATATAACTCTAAAACTACTATAACTAGACTAAGAGCATCTCCAATGGAGCTGCTATTTCACTTGCCAAAGCTAAAAAATGACAGGAATGGCAAAAAATTGTCTCCAATGGTTTGTTATTTCACTTGCCAAAGATGGCAGATGCCATATGTGTTCTCAAATTTGGCAAGTGAAATAGCAGATGCCAAGCTTGCCAGATCAGCAAAAATCAACAGCAATTTGACAACAAATTCAGTTGAAAACAACAGAATTAATCCAGTAGGGAACCCATTTTTCATAATCAAACCCAATTTTCAGAATCAAACAAATTTCAGAATGAAATTGACAAACCCAAATTCGGTTTCTCAAATTTTATTTTTTTTTAATTCATTTATCGCCAAATCAGTCAATCCAAATCGTATGCATTCACAATAAACCAAATGAAATCAGAATGAATATTGAGAGGGAGACATATATCAAAACAAAAAAAAAAATTGATGGATGAACAAAAAAAATTCAATAAGACAGATATCAAAAATTGATCCAAAAAAAAAATTATGAAGAAAATTTGGAAAAAAACATACCAGATTTGAGTTAGATAAAGATTAGGGTTGAATCCATCGCCATCTTTGAGTTTCAAAAATCACGATCACCTCAGAACCATATCAACAACCAGAAAAATAAAGAAAAAATCAACACATGAAGACTGAGAGGGAGACAGATCAAAACATATATATATATATATATATATGAGTATGTATAAAGATGGAGATCGTACCACAGACAGATCGGAGGTGAAGATGAGTATGTATATAAACAGATCGTATACATCGGATATGAATATGTATACAAACAGATCGTACCACAGACAGATCGTACACCGATCGGAGGTGAAGATTGAGAAGGAGACTGATCGGAGCTTCATAGGTAGAGAGAGAGAGAGAGACGTTTCAATCATGTAGGAGGAGAAAGGACTGGGTGAAAACAGAGAGAGGAGGAAAACAGACTGAGAGAGTGAGAGGGAGATAGAGTGAGAGAGTGAGAGGGGTTTCGATCATGGAGGAGAAGGGAGAGTGGTGAGGAGAGAAAGACAGAGTGAGAGGGAGAGGAAGAGGAAGAGGGTGGATCATTATAGATGTTTGGAGACAGAGTGATGCCTCAATGTATAAAAGAACCGTTGGGCTCTGTTTGGTTTTTTTTTTTATATAAATATTAATTAAATTTTTTAAACCATTTTTTTACGTAGACATTTTCAAACCATTTTTTTAAACCTCAGTGAATTAATCAAACCATTTTTTTTTCCAATTTTTCATTTTTAAAATTTTTTATATTTGTCTAGTTAGGAATAATATAAATATATAATTTTTTTAACAAACAGGTAAAAAAATGTCACAAAAGACAAAAAATATACAAAAATAAAATCACAAAAAAACTATATCCAAACAACACCTACAAATTTGAAGGGAAAATTGGTTGAGATTTGCCAAAATAACAAATGACCATTGGAGCACTATTGCTATAATTTGACAAAATAACACTATTCATTGCTAAATTACAGCAATGGCAATAACATTATAGCAATAATGGTTGGAGATGCTCTAATGTTGATAAGAAGATTATTTATCTTTATGCAAATTTTAGTGCGCTTTTTCTTTTTCTTTGTCAGTTGGATTGTTTTTCGTGATTTTTTTTTTTTTGAAAAAATATGTCAATGGAGTTTTCAAAAATTAATTATATATTCATAAAAAAATTATGATTTTATTTTTTAACATTCATAAAATTTATCACTAATTTAAAAATATATTTCTAAACATACACTAAAATAAAATTACTTTATTTTTTATCACTTGAGTGTATATATATATTTAATTTTTTTTTTTGAAATGACATCTTTGTCAACCGTTCAATTAAAAGAGTCTCACATGATTTTTGAAGTGATATACAGGAATACTATAGTGATTGAATTTAATATCAGAAGTTAGATATATATGTCTTTGTCATTGACTATAATGTCCCCTCAAATGACATCAATCGTTTCAGGATGCAAATCAATTTGTGATATTAATTGTACGGGAAAGAAATAAATCTTCTCGTATAATCCTGTTGATCAAGTCTGCGCTCCTCCGTACGTCGTCGCTTTATCACCTGAAA